CGGGGCAGGGCCGGGGGCGGCGCGGGGGTGGGTGCAACGCAGGCTCCACACACGTGTGTCCCAGCTGTTCGGAGGGACCGGACTGTTCTGCACTACACTGCCAACAAAAAGGCACACGTCTCTCTAATTCCTTACCGAGGTTGAGGGTGAGGTTGACCTGGTTGTGGCCGGCCAGCATGGTGTCCGACTGCCACCAGGTCTCGTTGTGCGGCTGGTGGATGTCGGTGAGGTGGCGCGCGCCGAACTCGCCCTCGGAGCACGTGTCGCAGGAGCGGCGCTGGCCGCCCGAGCCCGCGCCCGCCTGCACGCAGTACTCGCTGGGCCCGCTCTCGCCGCACGTGTTGGTGGCCACCACCTGCACGCCGTACGCCGCGTTCTCGAACGGCGGCACGCACCTCTGCAACAGAAAACGCAAAAGCGGATCGTTTTATTAGAAGAAGAGCAAACGCCAAGTCCCCGTTCGCTCCCGCAGGAGGGAGCAGGGCGATCGGAGGGCATCCCCGCCCGCCGCCGGGATGTTTCGACTTCCGATGCCGATCTCGGATACGATCCCCGAAACTTGCGTGCTTCGCCTTCAAAAAGGAAAAGGTAACAAAACCACTCAAGTTTGGGAGACAGAGACAGTATTCGAGATCGGCATACCGGGAGTCGAAACAGTCCGGGGAGCTGTCCGATCGCCCTCCTGGGGGATGAGTTCGGACACATTGGTAACACGGGGGGCGGGAGGCACCACTCGCACATGTGTCCCTTTCCATGATCTTGTTTCCGTCGCGAAAGGCGAACAAAGGAGACCCGACCCAAAATAATAAAAACAGCGAGTGGCAAATCAGAACGAGCTGAGAAGTTATCGTGGCGTCCTGGAGATGAGATGAGCAGGACCGCCGCCAAACGGCAGAGTTATTGTCCGGGGGCTCAAAGGGGCCGCGAATCGGCGCTGGAATTCTCAAGAATGAAGAAAGACGTCAGGGCGAGAGGAGAGGCATGAGGGGGCGAGGGGGGCAGGAGTAGAGGAGAGCGGGAAGGACCAAAATAAACGCCACCGCGTGGCCCTAAAACAGCCCGGCCGCTACGCGCCGCCACGCTCACGGCGCCGATGGCCGCCTCCGCATCGTCCCCGGAGCGCGAGGGCTGCGGCCGGCAGGCTGTGGGAGTGCGACGGCGGCGGTGAGATCCGGACGCGTCCCTGCATCCACAGAGGTCGAGAAGGGCCTGGCGGGGGAGGAGCGGGGGGG